TGAAAAATAGAGCCCCACGCTCTATTAGAGCCCCACGCTGTAATAAAGCCCCACTTTGAAGGATAGTTGAAAAATAGAGCCCCATGGGGCTCTAATACAAAAAATACGGTATGTAGTCTATGTTTATTCAGTCGAATTATTTTTGTAAGTCAAGCATTTGCCTTGGCTAAAATAATTAAAATATAGTTAACTTCTAAATATAAATTTTGTTATGTGTGGACTTGTGAATTATACATATGCATTAAAAATGGAAAATATGCACTATAATATGCGCGAAAATATGCATGCCCGAAAATATGCAAGAAAACCTAAATATGAACGAAAATATGCAATTTATACCTAGAAATTTTACATTATTTTAGTCAAAGGCATTCAAACACCTTCTTTATTAAGATTACTTACATTTTAAATGTATTCTAGTTCGACAAGATATGCATTAGTAACAAAGTCCGAAATATGCATTATATGCAAATATATCTGTGTTTTTTGTGCATTATACATCATGCCAAGTTTGCTAAAAAAATATGTATTTGCATAATAATCACAACTCTATTTATAAACGGGATCACCCCTAAATATCGACACCCAAAATGACGGATTACCCATAATATCGATTTTTTAAATGATCAGGAATGATGTTTCATCATCGGGGAAGTGTGTTTTCGATCGAACTGACCATAGCGACCAATCAAGATTTTCCTTAAAGAAAAACCCAAGCGCGAAACGTGGGGGTTTTGCACAAAATCGAAATTAAAAAATAGTCAAAAAATTATTAAAAATTAATTTAAGGGATGCTTAAAAGATTAATAAAAAGTTCTAAATTTAATTTCTGCCTAAATTCCATCAATTTATTTAATTTCTTTATTCTAACACATTTATTTATTTTTATTAAAGCAAATGAAGGAACAACAAAATTAGCTAATATAAATATAGATGAATTAGTTAGTGAGGAGGATTATGGTACTGTATTAGACCAAGAGCCGGCTAAACCTGATGATGTTGATAATGACGTAAATTTTTGGCTCTACTCCAGTTTATGCGTCCAATCGACTTTTATGCGTCCAATGAAAGTTTACGCGTCCAATAAAAAGAAAATTGGATTTTTCTTGGTATTACAAAGTTGGGGTATGGTTCCAATGCATTTCTTCATGTGCGGGACTTACGCCCACTGGGTCTGGGACCGTTCCTTACCCTATCTCTCGAAATTTCGGAAAGTTACGGCGATTTTTTTAAAATTTCAGAAAAACGATTTTAACTTTCAAAAATTTCGAGGAATAAGGTAAGAAATGGTCCTAGACCCAGTGGGCGTAGGTGCTGAACATGAAGAAATGCATTGGAACCATACCCCAACTTTGTAATACCAAGAAAAATCCAATTTTCTTTTTATTGGACGCATAAACTTTCATTGGACGCATAAAAGTCGATTGGACGCATAAACTGGAGTAGAGCCAAATTTTTTTAGTTAAGGGGAAATTAAAAATTAAATTTTTTAATCTTTAAAAATTCTAATAGAATTTTAATAAATTTGAACATAAATTCTCAAAATTTCAACCAAATCTTTTCGCAATTTTTGGAACTTTTAAAATACGCCAAACACCAAAAATCGGCCAAAATTAACGCCATGGCGCGCAATCCTGATTCCAACATAAATATTTTCAGATTCTTATTGAAATTTATTTCTAATGAAAAAAAAGATTTTTCACCTTTAGAATCAAGCCAAAAAATTTCTGATTCGAAATTTAGTAATTTATTCTACCAAGAGTCTAATAATTTTTTTCTAATCTTATGAAATTAATGTTTTTTCGAACTCATTTACTCCCGTTTCTGGCAGCTTAACAAAACAAAAAATTATTCTAAATAAAATCTCTTTCAAAATAATTTTATTTAGATAATCCAATCCCTCGTTGACAATTTTTTAAACAAAGGCACAACCTCCAACGATGGAGATAAACAACAAACAAATATAGAAAAATTAAATAAGGAAGCACAAGCTTTGATTAATTCGAGTGATTACTGGAGAGTAGAAAACTTGAAGGTAAATTGAAAATTTTTCTTTGGCGATCTTTTGCGATTTTTTAATGGTTTTGAATAGTAGAAAAAAGCTTGAACTATCGACTCTGGTGTATGTAAAATAATTTTAACTAAAATTCAAATACCTATCCATAAAAAAGCCTAAAAATGCGCAAAGGGCTCATTATTTATCTGATAACCCTTTAATTTTGGAATAGAGTTAAAATAATGTAAGGATGATTCATCCAACAGCATTTAAAACGCTAAGGCGGGGGTTAAACAATCTAAAAAGGAAAAAGAGAAAGCATAAGTTGATGCCCCGGTAGCTCAGCTGTAGAGCTCCTGCATATAGTGAGTGAAAGCGCCTAGCAACAACTAGCAGGTAGTCGCAGGTTCGAATCCTACCAGGTGGCTAAACTTTGCAAACTCTTTCTATAACAAGTATTTAATAATTCTATTAATTTGCCTCAGACTATTAGTTATACTCAAGATAAATCTTAGATATCTCTAGATAACTCTTTATAAAATTTTTGTACGGATAAATTAACGATCTTGTAGCAAATTTTATTCTCTACTTATTGAAGATCGGTCCATCAATTCAAAAGTTATGAATCCAGCACTTAAACTTTCTATTATTTTTATTATGCCTTAAATTTTTAAAATTTTTTTTTCAAAAAATTTTAAGCCATTTAACTCAATAAATGACCCAGAATTAGCCAAACAATGGTTAACAGGATATTCTGTTGAATTACAAAAAGTCTTGCATCAAATAGCTTTGGCAGGGTGGAATTATTTTACGGCTGCTTCTATCTCTCTAAAGCAAAATTTAGATGAAGCAGAGGAGGTAGAGATTATTAAGTTTTGATAAAATATTTAATAAAATATCCTGATTTTTCTGAATTTTATTTTAATGTTCTTATTTTTAAATCTCCGTTTCTGAGATTATTCGTAATTTAATTTTTTATGCTATATCTGATTATTTTCTGGATCGACTCTGTAATTTTCTGATAATGTCCTCATTATTTTTTGAGCAATGGAATTAAGTATATAACTGAAATTTACATAATATGTATTAATTAGTTCGATCAAGTTTAAATATGACATAATTTAAAATTTATTCAAGAGTTTTTTTTTAATAAAGTGATCTGTATTTTTGTAAGTCGAGTTCTATTTCGACTAATTAGATTTGGGTGTGATGATTAGTTTACTTCTGATAATGTTCTTATTATTTTTTGAACAATGGAATTAATTTTTGAATTTCCGTTTTTGAGATTAGTCGTACTGCTATTTTGATTACGATCTGATTATCGACTGAATCGATTTCGAAAAGTTTTGATCATGTTCATATTATGTCCTGAATAATTGAATTAATATGTATATAAATGAAATTTGCATAATATTAATTAATTTAATCAAGTTTAACTAAGAGAAAATTTGAAAAGTTATTTCAGAATTTTATTATTCAAGTAATCTCTATTTTTGTAAGTCGAGTTCTATTTCGACTAATTAGATTTGGGTGTTATGATTTGTTTACTTCTGATAATGTTCTTATTATTTTTTGAACAATGGAATTAAGTATATAACTTAACTTTACATAATATTAATTAATTCAATCAAGTTTAATTAAGAGAAAATTTATAATTATATTAATAGGTATATATTTTTAAATTCATATTTCTATTTTTGTAAGTCGATTTTATGTCGACTAATTACATAGATTTGGGTGGGACGATTTGTTTACTTCTGATAATGTTCTTAACATTTTCTGAACAATGCTATTGAGTATATAACTGAAATTTACATAATATGCATTAATTAATTCGATCAAGTTTAAATAAGAAAAAATTGAAAATTCATTTTATAAGTTTGATTTTTTTATCTCGTATTTTTGTAAGTCGATTTAAATTCGACTAATTAAATTTGTCTATTCTGATATGAATAATTCTGATTGTATCTGACTTTGTTCTGGTCTATTATGTACTATTGACATATTCCGATTTTTATCAGAATTTTTCAGGGTGGATTCTGATTTAATTATAATTATTTTCCTGTAATATTGAGAAAGATTAAAATTCGCTTTAATTTCATTTTAATCCAAGTTTTTAAAATTAAAATAAGGTTGGACGTTCATTTTTACGTGCATCAGCTTTACAATCTCAACAGTTTAATAGAACAATATTTCCTTATGGTTCTCCGGAAAGAATTCAATTTTCCGTGCTGGCACAACAAGGAATGAATGCTTTAGATACTGATGATTATAATGAATATAATAAAATATTGCTTTCAATAAATCAACAATTTATACATACACAATTGTGTGGGGAGCCTGGGAAGGGTGAAGAAATTTTTTTAGAAATTTTTGAAAATTCATGGAATTTTTTGAAAATTTTTGGAATTTTGGAAAATTTTTCAATTTCCAAATAATTTCAATATCTTATTAAGCGCCTATGGGCGGAGACAAATCAGCATGTCTTTTACGATTTTCTGACATTCCCTCAATGTTAAATGCTCCGGGAGCTGATGCTATGCAATGCCTCGATCTTTGGCAAAAATGGCGGTTATCAGTTGGAAATGGTCTTAAAACGAGTTATTCACAACTTGTTCAGATGAGTAATAAAGGTAGGTAGACTTAATAATTTTCAATCATCGACCTTTATTATACAATATATGACACTTAGGTCTAGAAAATTGTGTTTGTCCAGAAGTTATTTTGGATAATGAGATCCTATTAAATTCCTATTAAATTAGTGAAAAATTTTGAGTATAACTTTTAAATTATTAATTAAAAATTGGACCAAATTAAACAAAAATTCGATTAAAGAAATGAAGATTGTTCGAGTCAAGATCTCGATTCACGAAAACCCTCTCATTTGTCAGTTCAGACGACCCAGTAGTATTTACTATAACTCTGATCCTCAGTTGAAAAATTTATTTTAATAAGCATCCATCTTAAAGGAGCACGTTTGAATTCCTTCCAAAATTTGGGCGAAATGTGGCGTGCAGTGTACGAACTCCCAGAAAACTATGGTTTTTATTCCGAGAAACAATTCGACTTGGAAGAGCAATTAAATAAACTTTATTACCAAATAAAACCATTTTATCAACAATTACATACTTATTTCCGTGCTAGATTGGCTGCTTTACACTCGAAGAAGGGCGGAGAGGAAGTATGATTTGACTGATTTAAAATTTATTTTTAAAGTTTGATATAATCTACAGTTGATCATAAAGTAACCGGGTTTTTTCATATATTTCTTCAAATTAAAGATAATGGAATCCAGATTAAATGATCGAGGATAAAACAAGGGACAAATAAAATAAAGAATTTTCGAAGTGCCCACCCTTTGCTTAGATACAGAGTTAAAGACGCGTGCGGGCGAAAGTTCGAACCTCATCGAATCGGATTTTCTCCCATTCTCGAGCCTGTGGTCACCCTTTAGAAAAATTTACCTCCATAAAAAATTTTTATTTCAACCATTAGCGATTTTTTGCCACGAGAGGTGATTTTATATGTCTCACGATGAACAAAAATTTACAAATTTTCCTAACGGGATTTAGTGATTATAAAGGGATTAGAAAAATTTGTAAAAATTTGGGTGAAATTATACAAAAAGAAGTGAATTTCTTCATTAAAAAATTTTACTACGATCTTAATTTTAGATTACCTAATATATTTTTTTAATTTTAATCAAAGAATCAAAAAGCCGGTTTTGTCTCCAAAAACGGCCCAATACCCATACATTTACTAAAAAGTTCAAATGGAGATAACTGGTCAGCTTATTATGAACAAACAAAACCCTTTTCTGATGAAGCTTTAGCTGTGGAAGAAGAAAGAATATCCAACGAATTATTAAATTCATTTCACGCACAAAACTATACTGTCAGATTAATGTATACTAAAGTAAGAAAAATCAGAATTTTCGAAAAAAAATTTTTTTTAATTATTCAAGGTTTATCGCTTTATGAAATACTTAGGTTTTGAAAAATTACCTCGTTCATTTTGGACAAATTCTGTATTCAAAAGAAACTGGGCAAAAGAAATGATTTGTAATCCTGCTACTGCGTATGATATGGTAGATAATAAATTTTAATTAAAATCAGAATTTTTAATCTTTTAAATTCTGATTTTACCTTGTTTGCAAAGTTTTAAGTATACAGCTTTTTAAACTGTCGATTTTATCGGGCGTTAGAAAAGCTGTGAATCAAATTATTTCTGATTTTATACAAAAATTATTCTGATTTCGTTATTTTATATTCTAATAATAATTCTGATAAAAATTCTGGTTCTGTATTAACATGTTAGATTCTGATTTTATTAGAGTTGACGCTTTACTGTATAAGCTTTTTAAACTGTCGATTGTAACGAGTGTTTACAAAGCTGTAAATCAAATTATACATAATTCATTTAGAATTTATAAAATTCTGAAATAATTTCAATTAAAAATCAGAATTTTATTAAACTAATTTTGTATATTCTGAGAACTAAATTCTGTTAATTCGGATAATTTTATATGGGAAAATCAGAATTCTTAACAGCAATAATTTTAATCATTTAATTAAAGATGAATGGCCAAGATGACTATAGAATTAAAGTTTGCGGTCAACTTAGTGAACAAGTATGAAAATATTTTTTTAATTAAAAACTGTTTTCATTAAGGAATTTATACAGTCCCATCGTTTAATGGCCAAATTGTACTACCAATATGGATCAAGACATCAACCAATTCTCTTGAGAGATGCGCCTAATCCAAGGCAATTATTTAATCTTAAATTTCTTAAAGTTATAAATTTTCAGTCTAAGCTCTGCATTAGCTGGTGCCTTCAGTGTAATAGCCCGCAACCTTGATTATCTACGTTCTATTAAAATAGTCAATGATAAGGTTGAGAGGAGTGAATCTGCAGAAATTAATAGATTATATAAAGAAGCTCTTGAAGATTTTGTTAAATTACCTTTTGCCGTTGTTGCAGGTAATTGTGGAAATTTTTTTTATTTTTGAAATTAATATTGAAAAGATAAATGGAGATATGCTGTATTTAACGAAAGCCTGTCTCCATCAAATTGGTCGATGGAATGGTGGTCGTTGAGGTAATAATGTAAAATTTTTAGGGAATAGATAGGACTAATAAAAGATACAAAACTTCAGTAACCCCTATATTAAAATAAAATTCGTGTAATAAAGACAAAGGAAGCTCCTCCAAACGGTCGATTTCTAAGAGTGTTTAAAAAGCTGTGAACGCGGTTTACAGTCTTCTAAAGCTTTTTGTAGCGAAAAGATGTCAAAAAGCTGCCTAAAAATGCAAATGCAGTTATTCCCTTAATAAATTTTTATTATTGAAGCCCGTGCAAAATTTCCTTCAAATTTCAAAATTAAAAAATTTTTACTTTAAAGGCAGAAATATCAAGGGATTATTGCCCCTTCAATGGCTGATCCAAAAGCTGTAGAAAGCGATCCAACAGCGTCTCCATTAATTACTCAACAGCATGCACCTGCAACACGTGATACCTTTGCTTATATTGTTCAATTCCAAATATTAAAAAAATTGTGTAAAAATAAATTAAGTCAAGGATGTTTGCCTGACAAAGAGGAAATGAAGGTGATAAAATAAAATTTTCTAATTTTCTAAAAATATTAATATTAATTTTATGAGAGAAAAAATTTATTACAATATACAGCTTTTTAAACTGTCAAATTCATCGAGCGTTTAGAAAGCTGTGAATAAATTTAAATCATTTTAATTCAAAAATATTAACAGGATATTCACGATGCCATAAAAAGAGGTGGTTCAATTTCTTGGCTTGATGCCTTTGAGAAAATGACTGGCAATAGACATATTGGTAACTTAATTAGTTTTGAACTTTTTAAAAATTACTATAAATTTTTGAAATCTGTAAAAAATTTTTCATTTTGTTTAAGATGCCGGCCCACTGCTAGAATATTATTCTCCGTTAATTCAATGGCTTGATAATATAAATTCCAATGAACAACGAGTTGTTGGGTGGGAAGTTGAGGGTGAAGGAGAGGCTTTTGCAGAGTTAATTTATTTTATTTTTAAAGTTTTTAAATTATTATTAAAGAAACGAACTCCCACATTTACAAAACCAATATGAAAGTGAAAATGGGGGAGAATTTGGGAGGATAGATGGAACTGGTGGAGGAGATGCTCAGATTGCTTTTCCTGGTAAAAAATTTTTGTCTGATCGGAACTCCTGAAACCCCCTCCTCGTGACATTTCGGTTCAAAAATAAATTGAACCAGAATTTGACTACTTTTTCTAGTTTTTCAAAATTAAAAATTATAGGGAGGGTTACTTTAACATAATAATTTAATACTAGGTCAGAGCTGCGAGAAGGATCAGGAATGTCTACTCGATTCAAAATGTAATGGGACAATTTGTGTTTGTAGGGAAGGATTGTATACTCTTCGGATTGCAGGCACTTATAACTGTGTTCCGAGTGATCCTGCTAAGGTTATTTTTGGAAATTTAACTTTAGGGTTTTGTTGACTTTTATCTTGACATTTTGATATTTTTAGCCTTTTAATTTATGGCATTTATGTAATTAACCAAAAAATATACTTATAGGTAGGATTCACTGATGACAGTGGTGGTCTAGTAATAGCTCTAAATCCCAACAATGGATCACACGCTCCTGAAACCGGGCAAAATGCTGATATAGAGGCAGTTGTTACAATTGAACACATGGACGAAGAGGCGAATAAACATGGAAAAACCTCAAATTCTGCGATAAAAAAGCTATGCAATTTCTCCATTTTATTTACAATTTCTCTGGCCATTTCTGCTTTAAGACAACAAATGCTTATTCATCGGATATAAAGTTTATAGTTAATTTAAAGAGCTATATGTATATATTATTTGTTTATTTGTAAAATTTTTTGTTTACTATTTAAGTTTCTAATGTAAATTATAAAGATTAGTGCGCGGAACCGGACCGGATTTGGAGGGACTAAGGAGGGATATAGGTGTATTTGTAAAGATTAAGATGGATATACATCTCCCTTACAACTCAAATCCCGCGATATCAATCCTACTCCACCAAATCACCTGTTATCCACCACAAATCCGCCAAGCACCCTTCATAATCATCCAAAATCCTTAGATATCCCCACTAACAAATTCTTAACACATAAACAATCAAATCTCTTTATTAAAGATATAGAATACTATACTCAATTGATAACTGGCCACCTAGTTTTCCATATATGATCTGCAAAAGACGTTCTGCAAAATAGAACTCCTTTAACTCCCTTATTCATTTGTTTTCTCGCAGGTTATCCAGAATAACCTTATTTAAAAGCAGAATTTTAACAGAAAAATTAAAAAAAAATTTTAAAAAATTAACAGAAAAATTAAAGAAAATCAATTTGCTCAATTGTATATTCATGGCCACAAATTTTGCTGATCAATTTATGACCTTTATTATAAATTGATGGCATTCGATGTCAGTGTTTGATTATTTTTTAAATATATCATGCGATAGAATAATCTAAAATTGATCCCTTTGACTCTCTAATTTACACACAACTCCCTAATATTTAAAAAATGATTGCCTCTCAATTTTTCGTGTAATGTTGACAATTAATTTTCGCCTGTCAAATCTATATCTCTACAATATGACTTGCTTGTCTGAGAAAGATACTCCCAATTAACGTCAGATTTTATTGCCCGAAAGTCGTACAGGTTATATTCGACCATTCGCTTCTACAAAACCCCCAAATAAACGTAAGTGATAGGTGTCGTATTAATTAAGCTCCACCGCTTCTCTAATTTACACACTACGTGACAGCAATAAATCACACTGAAAAATTCTTCGCATATATATGTAGACGCCTCCCTTAGAAATTAACAAAATATGCAACTATTTATGTATATGTATATTCATTAAATTATTCATTAAATAATTATAATTTAATATTATTATTATTATCACTAATAGAAAGGCTGTCTCCATTTGAATGGCCCGCTTTAATAGTATGGCCCCCTTGAGGATGATTGAAAATAGAATGCCCCCCCCATATGAATATATTTATTCAAAAGGACCTCAAACTTAAACTTGAGTAATTAAACTATAAAATCAACGTGTGAAAAAAGATAAAACTTAAGTTTGGCCAGAGAATTTAAAAGAAAAAGAAAATGATTAAAGGCAAAACCTAAGTGAAAAAACTAAATAAAGCGCAGGTGGGTGAAAATGTAAATAGGTGAAGGAGATAATACTCGGAGAAATTAGTAGTGCTAAAAATAGCTAAAAACTTAAAGAATAAATAAAATGATTGGAGAAGCGATCAGAAATGAAAATGATGTTAGCACAAACGGGTATGGCTAAAAAAGAGATATCGGGCAAAAACAAACGGTTAAAACCAGACGGTGCAAAAGATCTGTCGCTTTGCGACAGAGCGTTTCAGTAAACTTTGGCCATCCAATGAATACTTTTTTTATGGAATTTTTTTTAATTTTTCACATTAAAATCTTATAGAATTAATGCTTTAATTTAAGACTTACATTAAAATTAAATTAATTGTTGAACCGGATATCCGCCAACTCTAAACACACAATGTGACTATTCAACGATTCTATAATGCAATCCCCATCTCCTCCCCCCCCTCCCCACAGAAAAAAGCTGGCAGGAGGTAAGAGAAAAGCAGTCGCTAAGAGAAGAGCAGTCTCTAAGAGATAGGAGAAGAGCAGTTCTATAGATGCACGCATGCATGGCCATAAGTCTTATTAACGTTACGAGGAAATGTCTAACAGTCGAATCTATATTATATTTTTTATTCAAATCTTTAGAGGTAAGTGAAGAGGGTCTTATGAGACGTGTCTTATAGTCATATTGCAAGCTCCCCCCTACCCAAAGAAAAGATCTGGCAGGAGATAAGAGAAGAGCAGTCGCTATGCCCAATTCTAGATGCACGCATTATTGAATGGCTCTAGGTCTTATTGACGTTAAGAGGAAATCTCTAACAGTCGAACCTATATTATATTTTTTATTCAAATCTTTTAGAGGTAAGTGAAGAGGTTCTTGTGAGACGTGTCTTATAATGCCTAGGCAAATGGGCGTTTAACATTCACTCTTGACAAGTCATTCTTTAATTTTTTAATCATTTTTTAAAATTTTAGTTGTGAAATATGCTTTAAAAAATTATATATGTAGGTGTGGCAAATGTTTTTATTAAATTTAATGCTCAAATAAGAGATCGGATCTTGTTCTCGTCATCCAAACTAACATTCATGTTTTAGTTTTCGATAAATCCTCTCCAGTTACAACCGTTTCCTCCATACATAATTAACCTCATATTGCGAATCAGGCATGGTCATGGATACGGATATGGATACAGATAATATCAAAATGTCTGCGGATATCCGCCTGTATCCGTCTATATCCGCCGTAAATATGCGGATAAGGATACCAAGATCAGTATCCGTGAACATGCCTGTTGCGAACAATACGTTGGATAACTTCAGGAAAAACTTTAGACAGCCCTCCTTCATTAATCTTGCAAATTGGCACCTCCGTCGGATCTTAACTTTAAAATTTCCTTGTTCATAGTTCTATTATAATATTTACGATATTACTCAAAATCATTTGAATTTTTCCTTAAATGTTTCTTGCCAATGCTTGTTTAGTTAACCAGTCTAATGTTTAATCAGTCTAATCATTTATTGATAATTCAATTTTTTAAAAGATGAAACTGTCAACTTGTTTCATTTTTATATTTTAAAATTGTATTTTATTTGATTTAAATTTTTGTTCGAAATCTACCAAAAACAAAGGTGGAAAAGATAGCAAAAACCAAAAGGCAACTAAATGTGAAACACTGATGTGTATGAATTTTTGTAAAAGAGGAATTACAGCAGGGGGAATTGAAGAGAAAAAACAAACTAGAGGTGGAAATGAGGTAAAAGATTTCTAATGTTCGAAGGTTTTTTGGCTCCGCCCAGCATATGTTTCCCTTACGGTTAAAGAATTAACTATTAAAAAACTAATTGCTTGCTAATGGGATACTTTTGCATTTTTGGGAAGTTTATACTTGTGAAATAAATTTATTCTATGAAGTGACTCTTGAAAATCTCCCTTTATAGGCGGCCTTGCCCCTCATTGTAATACATAGAGAACTGTAATAGACTAATCTAAAAATAATTTCCTGTTAAATTTTCTTTAAAGAATATGGAAAACAATTTGATTGAAGATGTTATGATGCGTCGTAAACGTACAGCTCGAAATAATGTACTTAAAGATATATTTAGCTGTTTTTCTTGTTGTAAGTTTTTTATTTTTAATTAAAATTTTTGTTCTGTTCTGTTGATTTAGCAAAAATTAAAAAAATACTAAACTAAGATTTTTTAAAACAATATAAAATTTTGTTAATTAAGGTGGCTCAAGCGAAAAAGATAAAGGTAAGAAGCTAAGCTCACATTAATCCCAACCCTTATTCTGGTAATTTTGCAAATTTTAATTTTTAAAGAATTTTAAAATTATTTGTAAGTTATTTCAAGCTTTATGTTCTATCGGGCATTTTTTTGCAATTATAATATATTTATTATCTAATATTTATTATCTAATATATCTAATCTTTATATTAAAAAATAGCACAAGAACTTCAAGCTCATGCTTACAAGGAAAAATTAAAAGCAATTAAAAAAATTGATCTTGGCAAAATGGAACCGGAACTTAAAAATCTTGGTAGTTACGGAGCAGCAAAAGGACATCAAACACGCGGTTCTAACTTTTTATTTAAATTTATTATATTTTCACAATTTTCTAAAATAATTCTGTTTACTTTTTAAAAATAAATTATAAATTAAAGGAGATGATTTAAAAGAAGCAATTGCACGATCCCTTATCGATCAGGAACGTCTACAGGAACAATACAATCAACCTTTTACAATTAGAGGCACTTTTTAATTTTATGTTATTTTATTTTAAAATTTTTAAGATCTCCCGTCTGAAAATCGTCCTATTCATGATCCACCACCACCTCAAAATCCACAAGATAGAGGAAAAACGGCAGCTGAATATGAAAGAAAATCCTCATCTTCTGATGATAATGGCGTATTTTATAAAGATAAAGATGGCAATTTACGTTTTGTTGGAGAAAGTAGTGGTCAATAATGTAGCTAGGACGTTAGCTCTGGGGCTGTGAACCGCCTTCCCCAGGGACGGTGATCGAACAACAACACAACACTAGCATCTAGCATGAACGATATTTAATAGTTCTTTCTGCTTCTATTTGTTTTTAAGTTTCCTTACAATCTCTTTACCATTTTTACCATGCTAACAATTATAGTTTTTTCTCGAATAATTACCCTGGGTAATTATTTAAACTCTCTCGTTAACTAAGGTAATTATTCGAAAAAGGGTGAGTAATTAATCGAGTAAACCTCCATTGGGACTCAACCTTACAGCGCCGCATGCGAAAATTCTGACAATAAAAATTTCGGTTCCTCCCGATATCCGAAATTTTCGGTTCGGAAATCGGGTCTGGATATCCGAAGATTTCCAAATATCCGACAACCTTAGTCAACAAGGTGGCGTGGACGTTAGCTCTGGGCTGTCTTCCACCATTTCCTTTAAACCGCAGTCCTCGGTGACGGTGGTCGAACACTAGCATCTAGCATGCCAACATAGTAAAGCAGCTGGGCTATAGCTATTTATCTCCTTTAGCTAGTGCAAAGTTAATCATCGGCTGGGCGCGAACCAGCATCTTCAGTAGACCGGACTGATTACACCACGCCGCCTAATGCATAGCCTTAGGAAATAGCTATATGCTTTGCAATATTTAATAGTTCTTTCTACTTCTATTCATTTTTAGGTTTCTTTACAATCTCTTTACCATTTTACCATGCTGATATTTATAGCTTTTCTCGAATAATAGCCTTGTGTGATTGTTATTTAGACTCTCCGAGGTAATTGTTCGAGGAAAGGTGTGTAACTACTCGGTTAAACATTAGTAACTTCTCTAACAGCTCATTTAAGATAGTCAAGTAAATTTACTCTTCCAACTTTAAATATTATGAAAGGAACCATAAATGTTATTATTAGAGTGCTCGACATTTTCACTTTGTCGGGCCCGGTATCCGGATTTTCTTCTTCCAAGTTGACCCGGGCCGGGTTTTCCGGGCTAAAACCTCGATAACCGGAAAACTCGAAAAA